GGCTTGGGGAGATGGGCTCGAGCACACGAGTCTGAGAGCAAATCAGGTTGAGCTGATGGGCTTGGGGAGATGGGCTCGAGCACACGAGTCTGAGAGCGAAACAGGTTGAGCTGACGGGCTTGGGGAGATGGGCTCGAGCACACGAGTCTGAGAGCAAATCAGGTTGAGCTGACGGGCTTGGGGAGATGGGCTCGAGCACACGAGTCTGAGAGCGAATCAGGTTGAGCTGACGGGCTTGGGGAGATGGGCTCGAGCACACGAGTCTGAGAGCGAATCAGGTTGAGCTGACGGGCTTGGGGAGATGGGCTCGAGACACGAGTCTGAGAGCGAATGAGGTTGAGCTGACGGGCTTGGGGAGATGGGCTCGAGCACACGAGTCTGAGAGCGAATCAGGTTGAGCTGGCGGGCTGGGGGAGATGGGCTCGAGCACACGAGTCTGAGAGCGAATCAGGTTGAGCTGACGGGCTTGGGGAGATGGGCTCGAGCACACGAGTTTGAGAGCCAATCAGGTTGAGCTGCCGGGCTTGGGGAAATGGGCTCGAGCACACGATTCTGAGAGCGAATCAGGTTGAGCTGACGGGCTTGGGGAGATGGGCTCGAGCACACGAGTCTGAGAGCGAATGAGGTTGAGCTGACGGGCTTGGGGAGATGGGCTCGAGCACACGAGTCTGAGAGCGAATGAGGTTGAGCTGACGGGCTTGGGGAGATGGGCTCGAGCACACGAGTCTGAGAGCGAATCAGGTTGAGCTGACGGGCTTGGGGAGATGGGCTCGAGCACAAGAGTCTGAGAGCGAATCAGGTTGAGCTGACGGGCTTGGGGAGATGGGCTCGAGCACACGAGTCTGAGAGCGAATCAGGTTGAGCTGACGGGCTTGGGGAGATGGGCTCGAGCACAAGAGTCTGAGAGCGAATCAGGTTGAGCTGACGGGCTTGGGGAGATGGGCTCGAGCACACGAGTCTGAGAGCGAATGAGTTTGAGCTGACGGGCTTGGGGTGATGGGCTCGAGCACACGAGTCTGAGAGCGAATCAGGTTGAGCTGACGGGCTTGGGGAGATGGGCTCTAGCACACGAGTCATGGCGCGTATCGGCCTTGCTGTTAACCTCGTTCACGCTCACTAGGTGTGTGGGGCCATCCTCCTTGCATGGTGATGGTGATTTTGTTGCTCAAGCAGTATGCACGGCAGCATGGCAGCACCCCTGGGATAAGGCCATCATTTCTAGAGAAGTGTCTGCCCTTTTTCGAGTGCATTTCTATTCGATGGGTATGCCGTGTGTGGAGTTTGCTTCATCTTGTATTGGACATGCACAAGTAGTTTTTCTCTACTCTCTCCGTCCGTCGCATACCAGTTCCTTGCAAAATCTATTCTCCCTTCTCTCTATCTCTCTTTGTGATGATTCCTCCTGGCAGGTGACAATCTGAAGGAAGGGGGGTGGGGGTAGGGGGTGCTGGGTAGGTGGGAGTGAGAGGAAAAGGGGAGGAGGGAGAAGGACGGGGGGGGGAGAGGGGAGGGGGGAGAGGGGAAGGGGCGAGTCGAGTAACGGTTTAATGGAAGATGGGAGGATTGATAGAATGGGTGCATGAGAGGAGTTCGGATTGAGACACATGGTGAGTAGGGCAGTGAGAGGGAGAGAGAGGGAGCGGGTGAGAGTTGTGTGGGGGTCGAAGGGGATTTATGTGTGGTGAGGAACGATGGTGTAATAGTATCACAATATCAAGACCATCTTTCTCACAGCCCCTCTCATAACAAACCTTGCATCTTGTCTCTTCCTGCTCTCACCTCTACCCATCTCGCTTTGTCACTTTCTTTCCATCTTCTCATCTCCCCAGCTCACCATCTCACATCCCCGTCTCCCCATCCCGCCATCCCACCAGCGCCATGCATACTGCCTTCACAGCCTCTCCCCGGGGCGCCACTGCTGCCATCGCATCTGCCCTCCGAGACCCTCCTGTGTTGCTCTCCCTGCACCTCGCCCTCACCGCCGTTGCCAAAGGCCTTCCTTAGAAGTTCTCTTTGAGTCGGCTCAAGCGAGTGTAATTTCTGCCATCGCGTCTGCCCTCCGAGACCATCCTCTGCTGCTCTCCCTGCACCTCGCCCTCTCTGCTGTTGCCAAAGGCCTTCCTTGAAAGTTCCCCTTTTTTTCGTTAAGGGGGTGCATGTGACAGCTGTGAAACGCATGTGGATGTCACAACATGACTAACCCAAAGGATGGATTTGCTGCATGAGAGTATTGTACCTCAATAATAGCAATACGCCAAATGATGGCCGCTTGGTTACCAATGTACAAAGAGACTCATGAGTCATAATAACAGATTCTGAATGTGTTCTTATATGTATCACTGGATGTTGAGACCGCCTAGGCATCAGGACTTCATCACCGCTTCACACAGAATGTTAACCGTATTTCTTACCGCGTTTGTTAACCTTATTCATCGGTCCTCGTGCTCAACGCGTGCTTTTTATAAAGAGTATTTTCTGACGCGTTCAATTCAACCGCCGCAATTGACGGAACCCGCGATCCAGAAAGTCTGACGAGTTTCGCTGACTCGGCAGGGCTCAGAAATGTACATTCGTATATTTTCGCGAATATCACAACCCTCACATTTCTTGGTGGCCTGACTTCACCTGATAGACTAGTGACCCCAAGCAGTAGAGGATCTTCACACCATCGAGCAACGCACGCCAACAAAATCCTCCTGCGAGCATCTTCAGAATTCAGTTGCGAAACCCTATCCAGAGACCTAGTAATCTCAGCTGAAACACAACGCTTAGCTGAAACCCTGCTTGTTTTGCCCTTGTGCTAGGGCAGAGATTGTCGAGAGCCAGATGCCATTTCCAGAGACTGTCCAGGGGAAGTGACCCGCTTCACTCTTTTTCTGTCATACGACTCTGTTTGCGGACTGCCCTTGTGGCGGGCGGGGAAGTCGGTTTGGGCTTGTTACTGGGGTACAATCTCCGTCCCCAGAAGCGCGCGAAAAACGCGAGTGAGTTACCTGGATGAAAGGGCTGCTGAAAACGAAAACTGTAACGCTTGACTTCTAATCGATTGACCCTAACAAGGCCCTCTGGATCGCGTTTCTGACTCAGAACTCCATAGCCGACCGCGGGACCTACTCGTTCATTCGTCCTAGGAGAAGTCATCGCGATCCACAACCAATATGGCATTCCCTCAAGCCCTGGCGCAAACGCCCCTCCGATTCAGCCCCAGTTTATCCGCCATGCGCTGCCCTCGCCCTTCAGATTTGTATTTAACCGTCCTCTTCGTTGCTGGTAAAGCACGACTACAATCCTCCGTTCTCCAAGGTCTAATTCCACTATAGTCACTACAGCTACCACGACTGCTACTCGTAGCACCTCTTCTCCTGCTAATGGCGCGTCTCAGCGGAATTACGGTTCTCTCGCTGCTGCTAGCCGTTGCCCTCGTTCTCTCAACATATGCTTCGACCGCGGTTGCCCAACAGGAGAAGAAGACTAGCGACGGTGAGTTCCCCCTTCCTCCTTCCCCTCATCATGTAATGCCATCTGTCCGACAGAGGAGTCCTCTTTGTCTTGACGGCGTTCCTCGTTCGTTGCTTCTGACTCAACTATTTCCCCAAATCCCCGTCTTCTGTCATCTTTTCTTGTGGCGCGCAGGGAAATACTACTGTTATGTGGTGAATGGTTGGAGTTCGGATTATTGCGAGAAAGATTGGAATGGAAAGTGCGCTACGAAGCGTAATGCCTACAAGAAAGAGTGCGCACCAAGTAAGTAATCTGTCACCCACGGGTGACGACATGATGTCAGATTTAATCAGCAAATTTTGTTGATTATGAATTCCCGTTTTTGGCCCTCATGTCATCACATTCTTCTTAGGACCGTCCCATCGCATCACAATCTGTTTACTAACCCACGCCATTTCGTCACATCTGCATGACCCCCACTATTCCACGTTGCAATGTTTGTTCCCTTCTCAGTGGGCAGCGCATTCGTTGGCCTCTGGAGGTGTATCTATTGGGGGGTGACTGTGAGCGGTTGACATGATAAATATTCGTGTATCCATCATCCTTTGCTTACATGATTGCAGTTGTAATGCTCCTTGTAAACTATTGTTACATGATTATGACTTGAGATTATTGTGACTACATAGTAGGCATGACCTCATGCATGGAACAAGTATGACCTCATGCATGGAACAAGTCTGAACTCATGCATGGAACAAGTATGACCTCATGCATGGAACAAGTATGACCTCATGCATGGAACAAGTACCGTATGGCCCCGGATATAGGCGCCGTCCGATTAAAGGCGCCGGCGCTTATATCTGGAGCATGGCGCTTATGGCCGTTCCTCAATTATAAGCGCCCCCTCTAAAAAACCTTTACTTATTATAAGGGCACGTACAATTTTTACTTGAAATTTTGTTTAAAACAGTAGCGAATTTCATTTTTGCAGCGAGTCCAACATCATTTTCGCTTCGTTTGACTCGCGAAAACCTGACTGGCTGCGCGTCCAGTCAGGATGTGCTGGCATGCTTGCAGAATGACGTGAATTTGCCCGTGTGCAGGAAGCAGAATCGCTTCCGCGCGAGTCTGCTTTGTGACGCTCTATTGTTTCGACTCGGTTGAAGTGGCAACAATGAAAGGTACAATTTGGTACCCTATAAGTATAAAATTGTATTTGTCATTATATAAGCGCCGGCGCTTATGGCAGTTACTCAATTACAAGCGCCCCCCCTCAAAAAAATGAATTTATTATAAGCGCATAACCTCATGCATGGAACAAGAATGACCTCATGCATGGAACAAGAATGACCTTATGCATGGAACAAGTCTGACCTCATACGTGGAACAAGTCTGACCTCATGCATGGAACAAGTATGACCTCATGCATGGAACAAGTATGACCTCATGGATGGAACAAGTATGACCTCATGCATGGAATAAGAATGACCTCATGCATGGAACAAGTATGACCTCATGCATGGAACAAGAATGACCTCATGCATGGAACTAGTATGACCTCATGCACTCCGCCTTTCACACATGTGCCTGAGCACACGGTCACATGGGCTGGAGCTCAGGTGGTTTTCAGTCGTTGCAGGATTGAATGATTGAATCTTTGTCTCGTTCCTGCCCACACAATTGCCAAGTAGTTTCGCCTCATCATCCTCATTCGCCTCGTCATCCCCATTCCCCTCATCATCCTCATTCGCCTCATCATCCTCATTCCCCTCATCATCCCCATTCGCCTCGTCATCCCCATTCCCCTCATCATCCTCATTCCCCCCATCATCCCCATTCGCCTCATCATCCTCATTCCTCTCGTCATCCCCATTCCCCTCATCATCCTCATTCCCCTCATCATCCTCATTCGCCTCATCATCCCCATTCGCCTCATCATCCGCATTCGCCTCATCATCCTCATTCCCCTCATCATCCCCATTCCCCTCATCATCCTCATTCCCTTCATCATCCCCATTCCCCTCATCATCCTCATTCCCCTCATCATCCTCATTCCCCTCATCATCCCCATTCGCCTCATCATCCTCATTCCCCCCATCATCCCCATTCCCCTCATCATCCTCATTCCCCTCATCATCCTCATTCCCCTCATCATCCTCATTCCCCCCATCATCCGCATTCCCCTCATCATCCCCATTCCCCTCATCATCCCCATTCCCCTCATCATCCTCATTCCCCTCATCATCCTCATTCGCCTCATCATCCTCATTCCCCTCATCATCCTCATTCCCCTCATCATCCTCATTCCCCCCGTCATCCTCATTCCCCTCATCATCCTCATTCGCCTCATCATCCTCATTCCCCTCATCATCCTCATTCCCCTCATCATCCTCATTCCCCTTATCATCCTCATTCCCCCCATCATCCTCATTCCCCTCATCATCCCCATTCCCCTCATCATCCTCATTCCCCTCATCATCCTCATTCCCCCCATCATCCCCATTCGCCTCATCATCCTCATTCGACTCATCATCCTCATTCGCCTCATCATCCTCATTCCCCTCATCATCCCCATTCCCCTCATCATCCCCATTCCCCTCATCATCCCCATTCGCCTCATCATCCCCATTCCCCTCATCATCCCCATTCCCCCCATCATCCTTATTCCCCTCATCATCCTCATTCCCCCCATCATCCGCATTCCCCTCATCATCCCCATTCCCCTCATCATCCCCATTCCCCTCATCATCCTCATTCCCCTCATCATCCCCATTCCCCTCATCATCCCCATTCGCCTCATCATCCTCATTCCCCTCATCATCCTCATTCCCCTCATCATCCCCATTCCCCTCATCATCCCCATTCCCCTCATCATCCCCATTCCCCCCATCATCCTCATTCCCCTCATCATCCTCATTCGCCTCATCATCCTCATTCCCCTCATCATCCTCATTCCCCTCATCATCCTCATTCCCCTCATCATCCTCATTCCCCTCATCATCCCCATTCCCCTTGTCATCCCCATTCCCCTCATCATCCTCATTCCCCTCATCATCCCCATTCCCCTCATCATCCTCATTCCCTTCATCATCCCTATTCGCCTCATCATCCTCATTCCCCTCATCATCCCCATTCCCCTCATCATCCTCATTCCCCTCATCATCCTCATTCCCCTCATCATCCCCATTCCCCTCATCATCCCCATTCCCCCCATCATCCGCATTCCCCTCATCATCCGCATTCCCCTCATCATCCCCATTCCCCTCATCATCCCCATTCCCCTCATCATCCGCATTCCCCTCATCATCCCCATTCCCCTCATCATCCCCATTCCCCTCATCATCCGCATTCCCCTCATCATCCCCATTCCCCTCATCATCCCCATTCCCCTCATCATCCCCATTCCCCCCATCATCCTCATTTCCCTCATCATCCCCATTCCCCTCATCATCCCCATTCCCCCCATCATCCTCATTCCCCTCATCATCCTCATTCCCCTCATCATCCCCATTCGCCTCATCATCCTCATTCCCCCCATCATCCCCATTCCCCTCATCATCCTCATTCCCCTCATCATCCTCATTCCCCTCATCATCCTCATTCCCCCCATCATCCGCATTCCCCTCATCATCCCCATTCCCCTCATCATCCCCATTCCCCTCATCATCCTCATTCCCCTCATCATCCTCATTCGCCTCATCATCCTCATTCCCCTCATCATCCTCATTCCCCTCATCATCCTCATTCCCCTTATCATCCTCATTCCCCCCATCATCCTCATTCCCCTCATCATCCCCATTCCCCTCATCATCCTCATTCCCCTCATCATCCTCATTCCCCTCATCATCCCCATTCGCCTCATCATCCTCATTCCCCCCATCATCCCCATTCCCCTCATCATCCTCATTCCCCTCATCATCCTCATTCCCCTCATCATCCTCATTCCCCCCATCATCCGCATTCCCCTCATCATCCCCATTCCCCTCATCATCCCCATTCCCCTCATCATCCTCATTCCCCTCATCATCCTCATTCGCCTCATCATCCTCATTCCCCTCATCATCCTCATTCCCCTCATCATCCTCATTCCCCTTATCATCCTCATTCCCCCCATCATCCTCATTCCCCTCATCATCCCCATTCCCCTCATCATCCTCATTCGCCTCATCATCCTCATTCGACTCATCATCCTCATTCGCCTCATCATCCTCATTCCCCTCATCATCCCCATTCCCCTCATCATCCCCATTCCCCTCATCATCCCCATTCGCCTCATCATCCCCATTCCCCTCATCATCCCCATTCCCCCCATCATCCTTATTCCCCTCATCATCCTCATTCCCCCCATCATCCGCATTCCCCTCATCATCCCCATTCCCCTCATCATCCCCATTCCCCTCATCATCCTCATTCCCCTCATCATCCCCATTCCCCTCATCATCCCCATTCGCCTCATCATCCTCATTCCCCTCATCATCCTCATTCCCCTCATCATCCCCATTCCCCTCATCATCCCCATTCCCCTCATCATCCCCATTCCCCCCATCATCCTCATTCCCCTCATCATCCTCATTTGCCTCATCATCCTCATTCCCCTCATCATCCTCATTCCCCTCATCATCCTCATTCCCCTCATCATCCTCATTCCCCTCATCATCCCCATTCCCCTCGTCATCCCCATTCCCCTCATCATCCTCATTCCCCTCATCATCCCCATTCCCCTCATCATCCTCATTCCCCTCATCATCCCCATTCCCCTCATCATCCCCATTCCCCTCATCATCCTCATTCCCCTCATCATCCCCATTCCCCTCATCATCCCCATTCCCCCCATCATCCGCATTCCCCTCATCATCCGCATTCCCCTCATCATCCCCATTCCCCTCATCATCCCCATTCCCCTCATCATCCGCATTCCCCTCATCATCCCCATTCCCCTCATCATCCCCATTCCCCTCATCATCCGCATTCCCCTCATCATCCCCATTCCCCTCATCATCCCCATTCCCCTCATCATCCCCATTCCCCCCATCATCCTCATTTCCCTCATCATCCCCATTCCCCTCATCATCCCCATTCCCCCCATCATCCTCATTCCCCTCATCATCCTCATTCCCCCCATCATCTGCATTCCCCTCATCATCCGCATTCCCCTCATCATCCCCATTCCCCTCATCATCCCCATTCCCCCCATCATCCTCATTTCCCTCATCATCCCCATTCCCCTCATCATCCCCATTCCCCCCATCATCCTCATTCCCCTCATCATCCTCATTCCCCCCATCATCCGCATTCCCCTCATCATCCGCATTCCCCTCATCATCCCCATTCCCCTCATCATCCTTCCCCTCATCATCCCCATTCCCCTCATCATCCCCATTCCCCTCATCATCTCCATTCACCTCATCACCCCCATTCGCCTCATCAGACTCAGCAGCAAGAGGAGGGCGAAACGGAGGAGGGGAGGAAGAGGTGGATGGGTGGGGAGGAAGGGGAGGAGGAGGGGGATGAGTTGGTGGAGGTATGCGGTGGAGGGTGGAACCAGTGGAGGTGAGTTCTCTGATTTTGCGTATGGTGATGCCACTTCAGATGCCAAGGATAGGATGGATCGGGCGGCATTCCGTTGGCAGTTAGTGGTGGAGGTGCTACAGCGGGCTTTCGAGAAGGAGGGGTTTGTTAGTGAGATGAGGTGTGTGTGGGGTGTGAGAGGGGGAGGGAGGGAAGCGTGGAGCTGGGAGGGGAGTGGGGGAAGGGGAAGGGGAAAAAGGAGGCGGGAATTGAAGAGGGGTTTGAAGATGATGAGGTTGTCAAAGTATGAATCTATGTAACTGCTTGTAGTTTAAACATTGTAGTTATATTGTTATCTTGTTGGTGGTGCACCATTTGTTTCTTGCCTATAACTTTGTACCCTTACTCTTTATTGAACCTCTCTTTGGCCTTTCTCGCTTCCCAACTCACTCGAATTTCATGCTCTCCCTACTCTTGCCATGGCTGCTACCGTTAAACCTAGTTACTAGTTAAGCTCGTTATATCAACAGAGGTGCGTGCGGGGGTCGTGTGGTTGCTGAAGGTGGAAAGGGGTTGATATGGGTGGGTGCATGAGGGGAATTTGATGGGGAATCACATGGTATATGAGGGTAGTTAGAAGGAGAGGGTGGGATTGGGTGACATGTGTGAGACAGTTTGAGGGGATTGGTAAGGGACGATGGTGAGGGTCTCCACCTATATGTCTCATACTTTTTTTTAAACAGAGATTTTCCTACCAACTTCTCCTCTCCTCGCTCTTCTGCCTCTTGTCTCTATCCCTCCTTGCTCTCACCATCACACCATCTCACCACACCACCGTCTCACCACATTTCCACCCCACCACCTCAGATTCTTCCCATCTCACCGCCTCGCCACATCACCATCTCCCCTTTCCACCACCTCACCTTCTCCCCATCCCACCCCCTCACCCTCTCCCCATCTTCCCAGTGCACCATCCTGACGTCCCGCCATCCCCCCATGGCCACACACACTGCCTTCGCAACCTCTCTCTGGGGCGCCATTGCTGCCATCGCATCTGCTCTCCGAGACCATCCTCTGCTGCTCTCCTGCACTTTGCCCTCCCCACCGCTGCCAAATGTCTTCCTTGAAAGTTCCTTTTTGTTTTCATTGTTGAGGTGGACCAACTGGCGGATGTTAGGCGCATTGGGATATCGCAATATGCGTAATCCAGATTATGGTATTTTCTCGTGGGTATTTCGCAATAGAACTAATGAAAATGTGGTAAATGATGGGTGCCTGTCAACGAAATTATGAAGAGGCTCACAGATAATAATAACAGTCATAAAATTAGGAGTGCAGGCAAATTCATGAGGTACAGACAATAATTTTCGATTTTTATTTGATTTTTCAGCCCATCCAAGCATCAGAGAGACTAATCTGCTCAAAATGCGAACCACATTGTGATAACGTTTTTCTATACGTGTATGTTGAAGTCTTAGGTTGTGTAGTTTTTTTAAGCAGCTGCTCCTGCAGCTTTTAATAATGCGTTACTTCTTGGAGTTCAGTTCAGTCGACGCATCTCACGGACTCGCCGCACCTCACGGAATCCGCGATCACATACAGTGTGACGCGTTCAGTTGACTCGTCACTGCTCGGTGATAATCAGAATTCGGCGATTTCGGTTGTGCTCGCGCATCTCGCAAACTTAAAGCTCGGGTATACATTTGAAAGGAGGGGTTCAAAATCTTTTGAAATTTAAAAAGTTGCCCCAAACCTGTGGGGCGCACTCCCTAAACCCTAAACCCTGCCGACAAATGTATACTTCAGCTTTAACATTTCAGGGCTGCCTAGAAATTTTGAAGGCGTGATCATCGGTTCCACTAAACCTTGCAGCAGTCGTGGCATTTACACGGGCCTAGGTTAACATACGCCAACCAGTTCCCCCAGCACAAGCGAGAAATTCAGAATTTTCCAGCGAAACGCAAAGGAAGAGGTCAAAACAAAAGCTTAGCTGAGATTCGACCATGCTTCGCCGTTGCGGTGAGGACAATAGCGACATACTGGCAGAGATAGGCGGATCTGCAGGAGACGTAATCTAGCAACAGGCCCGCAAAAGATGGCCTGCTCATGAATTTTCTACTTCAATCCTGCTACCGTTTTCAGGCCTACCCTTGAATCGGGTGGGTATGAGTAAAATAGAAAGTGTGGCCGTGTTACTCGAGTACGAACCCTGTCCCGCCAAGCTTGGCGAACATCGCATACGAGTTACCTGAAATTGAAGTGCTGTTGGGTTGTGAATACGAGGTGCCCTGCCCATCACAGCATGCTTGACCTCAAAGCTCGTGGATCGCATTTCCAGGCAGAACTCTGAAATGGAACGCGGAACCGCTGGATCCAACGGCCCTCATTGCAACCACCATCCCGATTCCACCCCAGTTTGCCCTGTCAGAATGTAGTTTCTCTAGCCTGCAGTGGGGTACTCTGTAGTGAGTATGACCCCTTAGGGTTTCCTATATGTATCCACCTGCTTGCTAGTGAACATCCTTCTTTGCTCATTTCTCTCTTGCCTAGCTAGGTAAACCCTAGCTATGGCTCCTTACTCTCGCTACTCTTCTGACATGGAATCAGAGACTGTTAAGTCCTGGCCTGTGGGCCCCACTTGCTTCCGCTGCCTTCCTGTCTGTCGCGCGCCCCGTGGCACGCGACGCTTTTTTCTTCCCGCCACGCGCTCGGGGCGCATGGCGGTTTTCTGCCCGCCGTGTGCCCCGGGGCGCGCGGCGGTTTTCTGCATGGCGCGCCCCCCCCCCGTCGACCCTCGCGTCGTCCCCGGGGACCAGCGCGCTGCCCCCCGTCGCCCGTCGCGGCGCCCTGGGGGCCCGCGCGTCGCCCTCCTCCCGTCGCCTCGTCGCGGCGCCCTGGGGGCCCGCGCGCCGGCCCCTCCCGTCGCCTCGCCGCGGCGCCTTGGGGGCCCGCGCGTCCCCCCCCTCCCGTCGCCTCGTCGCGGCACCTTGGGGGCCCACGCGTCGCCCCCTCCCGTCGCCTCGTCGCGGCGCCTTGGGGGCCCGCGCGCCGCTCCCTCCCGTCGCCTCGTCGCGGCGCCTTGGGGCCCGCGCGCGGCCCCTCTCGTCGCCCGTCGAGCCGCCCTCGGGGGCCCGTGCGCGGCCCCTCTCCCGTCACCCGCCGTGGCGCCCTCGGGGGGCCCGCGCCCTGCTCCTTCGTGGCGCCCAGGAGACCCCCTCGCCGCCTCCCTTTCCCTCCGTGAACCGCCCCTCCTGCTTCCCGCGCTCCTGCCTGCGTTAGGGTTTGGGGGTGGCGGGCATGGGGGTGACCGGTGTGGGTAACCTACAGCTCCTCCTCCTCCTCCGTCTCCCACTGCTGCAGCTGCCGCTGAGGGGGGTGGGTGTGTGGGAGCCGAGGGTTTAGGGTTTAAAGGGGTGCCGTGGGAGTGGAGCTAGGGTTTCAGCAGGGGGTGTGTGAGAGGGGTGTGGGACGGTCGGGGGAGGTTGAGCGGAGGCTGCTGTCTTGTCGTCCGCAGCACCTGTAGTCCGGGGCGCTGTCCTGGTAGCCCAGAGAGCCTGCTGCGCCTGTCGCCCGTGGGTCCGTTGCTCCTGCCGCTCTTCGTAGCCGCCGAGCCAGTTACTCCAGTAGTCCGGGGCGCTGTCCCGGTAGCCACTGTGCCAGCCGCTCCTGTTGCCCGAGTGTCTGCAGCTTCAGTCGTCGCCTCCTATCTTCTCTCCTCTTACAGTCCCGCCTCCTCCTCCTCACTTGCCCTTTGTGAATGCCTCTAGCTTTGCTTGCACTTGTGAACCTGCTCTATGAATGCTTGCTCTGCTGATTATATCCCACTTTGACTATGGGGGTGTGTCAGAATGTAGTTTCTCTAGCCCGCAGTGGGGTACTCTGTAGTGAGTATGACCCCTTAGGGTTTCCTATATGTATCCACCTGCTTGCTAGTGAACATCCTTTTTTGCTCATTTCTCTCTTGCCTAGCTAGGTAAACCCTAGCTATGGCTCCTTACTCTCGCTACTCTTCTGACATGCCCGTCATAATCTGCCCAAAGGCGAAGTTCTGCATTTAGTAGTCCTCTGGTGGTTTTCGCTGTTTAGTACGATTGAATCTACGTCTCTCCAAGGTCTTGATTTGCAAAACCACTAGAACCACCACGACTGATAAAAGCTATCATTATGGTGCGCCTCAGCGGAATCACGGTTATCTCTCTCGTGCTTGTTGTCGCGCTCGTTCTCTCACCGTATGCTTGCAATGCCGTTGTTGCCAAGGCCGAGCCCAAGAAGACTTCGGATGGTAAGGTCTCCCTCCCTCCCATCATCCGATACTTTCATCATGTACCCTTCCCTATGACGGCATGCATGCCAAACACTCCGAGTGAGTTACCAAGTCACCAATAGTACCATCAACTAGTGTTTTTTTTGTATCGGTGCCGATTCAATCATTACCCACAAACTCACTTGCTCATGTATTCCTTTCGAGTGGGCTGCAGGGTTTCATACGTGTGATTAGGTGAAGAATATGAGAAGCAACGGGTATTGCAATTCGCCAGAAAACGAGACGCTGGAACAATGCAACGCCAGGATCGACTTCTATCTCAGCGATTGCCAACCACCCGATCGTACGTACGCTGCGGCCCACGGGACCATAATGGTTACAAAAATGTATGACTACATGTCGTGTGGCATGCATCAAGTCATCACATTAAGTCAGAGTTTTAGATTCACATCATCATTGTTAGAAATAGTCAGTCAACACTTTGTACTATATTCTATATCGGTTAGGTTACTTTGTAGGTTGGGTGTAGATTTGTAATCCCAACCCTATCTGGTTGGGATTCCCTCGTAATCCTGCAAATCTGCCAACTCACCAATTGGAGATTTGCTAGGATTCCCATCCCATCCTTTCCCTAGCTTTGCTCAACCCAACCGTGTTTGTACTTAAGAAGGCCTAGTGCCTTACTTATCAATCAATCAGTTCAGTTCCAATTCTATCATGGTATCGAGCTAGTAAAACTCCGCTCACGCGGAATCCGATCCTTGGCGTCCCGATGGTTCTCTCCTTCTAGGCTATGCCTATTTCGGCTCCCGGCTCCTACGCTTAGCGTTTTTCAGAAACTTCACATCGTCGCTCCGGTCAAGCGCGCATTCGGCTTCCTTCATCGCGCATCTCGTTTTTCAACGGCGACATTTTCAGCTTCCGACTTTCTTCATCGTAAGCTTCTGGTTTTCAAATCTCCGTGGCAATTTTCGCATCTTCTTAATTTCGAACAGGTTTTCAGCGGCGCAGCAGAACAGGTCCAGCGGCGCAGCGGAACAGGTCCAGCGGCGCAGCGGAACAGGTTTTCAGCGGCGCAGCAGAACAGGTCCAGCGGCGCAGCGGAACAGGTCCAGCGGCGCAGCGGAACAGGTTTTCAGCGGCGCAGCAGAACAGGTCCAGCGGCGCAGCGGAACAGGTTCAGCGGCGCAGCGGAACAGGTCCAGCGGCGCAGCAGAACAGGTTCAGCGGCGCAGCAGAACAGGTCCAGCGGCGCAGCCGAACAGGTCAGCGGCGCAGCAGAGAAGCGGAACAGGGGCAGCAGCGAAGCAGAACAGGGGGCATCGGCGAAGCAATATAGCAGGGTATAATACGGGCATTCTATTGCCAAAATCGCGTTTCGGGTATAATCACCCGAACTCCGCTCCGCTTCGCTCCGCTACGTATCGGAGACTTTAGCGCTGCGCTCCGCGCGAAATGGCGACTTCAACTTCCACTCTCATCGGAAACCTCATCATCCTTAACCTCGCTCCCAACGGCACGAGCACCAATTTCGGGGAGTGGTGCTATGGAGTGGAGAAGCACCTCCTTAGCTCGGAGCTCAAGGGGATTTGCCTCAAGGACATCCTCCTCAACCGCGGCAAGGGGAAGATGCCTCTCCCTCCCGATCCTCTCGGCGAAAGCGCCACTGCCACAACCAAGCTTGCTTTCGACGCTAAGACCACCAAGTATGAGATGGACTTCAGTCTCTGGGAGCAGGCGGATGCGGCAGTGATTAGGGTTTTCATCACCACTACC